CTCCTGCAGGTTCTCGTTGTTGTTGTCAGCCTCCTCCACCCACCTCTGCAGCAGGGGCCGCAGCTTGCACATGTTCTTGAAGCTGAGCTGCAGCGCTTCGAAGCGGCAGATGGTCGTCTGGCTGAACACCTTCCCTGGAGAGGCAGGGGGCAGGCGTGAGCCCTGGGTTGCTCCTGCCCAGGCCCCCTCCCCACAGGGCCACCCACACAGCCCCTGTGGATGAGCACCCACCAAAGATAGCACCCAGAGTGAGCCCCACATCGGCCTGAGTGTACCCCAGGGTGATCCTCTTTTGCTTCAGCAGCTTGGCAAACTGCTCCAGTTCTTTCTGCAGGGCGTTGATGTCCTGGGACTGCATGTAGAAAAAAGGCAGAGGACCTGTCAGAATGCAGACACAGTGACCCCAGGGAACGGTCTGGGGGAAGTTATCTCAGCAGCCCACCTAAGAGCCTCAGAACATAGACAGTTGACAAGCGCCCTTCCACTGCCCACTGAGTGCCTCGGGACAGCTCTTCCAACACGGGCCCAGCTGCAAGGGGTGGAAAGGCAGCCCTGGCCCCCAGGAGGACACCACGGCCTGGGGTGGCTCAGTGAGCCCTTGCCTGCCACCTCTGCTGTGGCCTGATGCTCAAGGAGGGCGCCTTAGCCCAGAGCAAGGAGTTCAGCTGAACCTAAACTCTGCTTGACTCTCCACCTCGGATCCAGGGAGTGAAATATGATGTGGCACGCACAGGTGTTGCAGAAGCACATGCCAGGCATGGTGATGCATGCCTGTGATAAATAATGCCAGCACTTGGGCAGCCAAGGCAGGAGGAGCACAGCAAGTCTGAGGCCAGCCCGGGCTAGATCGTGTTCAAGGTGAGCTGGAGTTGCCTGGCAGACACTCTGTCTCAACAAAACAAGAAAATCCAGCGATCCAGCTGGGTGTGAGGGTGCAGGGCTGTAGGCAGGGCACTCGGGAGGCTGAGGAAGGAGGACTGCTAGGAGTTCAAGGCCAGAAGGAACCACATAGTAAGACCTGGTTTCAAAAAGCAACAACAGGGCCGGGGAGATGGCTCAGTAGAATAAGTGCTTGCCTGGCAAGCGCATGGGCCTGAGTTCAATCACTGGTTCTGAAAAAAAAAAAAAAAAAAAAAAAAAGCAACAGGGCTGGCCAAATAGCTCAGTGGACTAAAGCACCTGCAAGCAGGTGCAGGGGCTCTGGGTTTGATCCCGGGGGCACACTGAAATGGCGATTGAGACTGGGCATGATGGTGTGCACCTGTAATCCCAGCACTGGGGAGGCTGTAAACAGGAGAATCACTACAAGTCCGATCTAGTAGTGAGACCCTGAACACCCTGTAGACCCTTCCCTAAAATACAGAAGAAAAAAAAGCAACAACAAAAAACCAACAGCAATCGGCATCACAACACGTACTTGGTGTCCAATCATTTTTTAGTCAGCTCAGCCTTTATTTTTTACTGCATCTTTCTGCATCCTCACTGGTTAATTCAACAGATCTCCGAGCACCTTCTATAAAACCAGCAGTTAAGAGTGGACAAAAGCCCTGACCTCAAGGGCCGGAGAGATGGCTCAGTGGAAGAAGCGCTTCCCTCGCAAATGCAAGGGCCTGAGTTCACCCCCCGGTTCTGCAAAAGCCCTGACCTCATAGAGCCGACATTCTAAGCAGCTAAACACATCACCATGCCCCCATGCCCTGCTGATCAAAGCATCAAGGAAAATAGCCAAGCAGGGTACAGGAAGAGGACAGCAGGGGCAATGGCGACTTTATTTTTTTTTCCTTAATTTTATTGAGAAACAAATAGCAATGAGCCAGTTTCAAATCAAATTTGTAGGACAGTTTCAATAATTAACACATTGCATACTCTCTTCCTAGTGGTTATTTGCTGTACAAGATGCAGACATGATATCCTATTTACAAACACTATTAGAAACAAATCCCTCTTTTCATTAAGAGAATGTAAGCAATGGCGACTTTAAACACGAATCCAGGTGGGTGTGGCAGCCCGCACCTGAAATCCCAATACTTGGGAGGCTGATGCAGGAGCGCTGCCTGAGCTACAGCGAGACCTCGTCTCAGAAACACAAAACACAGGACTCTGAAGGTGATTCCTGCTGTGGAAGGAAGAGCTGGGCGGGGCCTGTGCCTCGGGAGTTCTGGCTCAGAGTTCAAGGGTCCGGAAACGCCCACTTTCAGTGGATGAGCCGTGGCCAGTGGCACCGGCAGCTGGCGGGCAGATCGATGGCGCAGGTGCTTGGATGGTTAGGACAGCACCCACATCTCCTAAGGAGTGGACGGAAGCCGGGAGGGAACCAGATGCAGCCGGCTCTGGCCACGGGCGCTGAAATGGGGTGACCATCCCTACACAAGAAGGAAGGTGGCAGTCACCTGCTTCCAAGCATGCGATCTGGGGGCGGGTGTGAGGCGGGAAGGGGAGATAGAGTGAGGAGGACGCAGCCTCGGGGCACCCCAGCGTGGCAGGGCGGGGCAGGGGCTGGGGGGCGCCCGCAGAAGCCATCGCCCTCTGGAAGCCCACCCCAAGGAGCTGGCGCTGGCCGCAAACACCAGATCCAAACAGGCCACTTTTCCTTCCAATTTCTGCTCAGCCACTGACACAAATCTACAAATGTCCTCAGCCGCCTACTCGGCTTTCCCAAATCTTATTTGGGGGATTTGGAGTACACTTGGAGTCCTTGCCTCACTGAGAGGTTACTACCATGAAATGCGCTAATGAGGCTTCCCAGAGACAGGGCTGGAACTAAGGCAGCGAGGGGCAAGCCGCCCAGCCGGGCCCTCGGCACGTGGACTCCACCCGAGCCGTCACCGTCCAGCGTCGCCCCGGTCGGTATCCACCCTCACCTTGCGGATGGAGGCTCTGTGCTCGGTCATTGGTCAATACTCACAAGTTCAGTCTTGGGGGACAAATGCTACAGTCCGCAGTGTCCCCAGCAGGGACAGAGACTTTCAGCCTCTCAGCCAGCGGAGTGGCCAGAGAGTGTCTCCCACTACTTCTTTTTCTTATTTAGAACTTTTAAGTAATCAAGGCTGAAATAAATCAAACTGGCACCTCCCGCTCCCCGCCAGGGGCCGAGGGTGTGTGTGCAGCAGGGTGGTCCCCGAGGCGGAGGCGGAGGCCTGCAAGGCCTTAAAACCCGATGCAGGTCAAGTCAACGCCTCGGCCCGCTCCCCCCGAGCAGGGCGGTCGGTCGGAGGCCAGTCACACCCTAGCCTCCCAGAACAATAACCTGGGATAAGCGCTGTTTCAGTCCCGAGGCCCTGCTGAACCCTAGGGCCAAGATCCTGGGTTTGATAAGGATCAAATTTTTCCACAGAGCCAAGGGTGGGCAAAAGGGGTCCCTCACCCGGGCTGGAGCTGGTGCGGGCGTGGTGGCACGGGACCCCCTGAGCTTGGACAGGCAGCCAAGCCCACAAGCGCCCAGGACCAGGGCTGAGGCCCAGCAGGGCCCACTAGAGCCAGCCCGGAGCTCCAGCCCCCTCGGGTTTTCCCTGGGCCAGCTCCCGCAGGGTCCTGGGTCTCGGGGCCTGGGCAGCAGCTGCAGGTGACCACTTCCTGCTGGCCCAGCCCCCTCCCCATGCCCAGTGCCCGGCACACGTCTCACCTCCTCGGGGTTTGGCTCCAGCTTCTCCTCTACCTTCACCTCACCAGGGTGGGTGGCGCAGGGCTCGGGGGAGGCCTCCTCTGAGCTGCTCTCTACTCCGGCCCCCACCTCGTCCTCGGGCCGGGTGCTCTCCAGGCCACCTTGGGGTGCCAGGCCCATGCCAACCTGAGGCCCACAGCACGCCGCCACCCCTCCACAGAACTCATAAGGCTGGCGGCACGGAGGGACACCCCACACCTCGGGGCCTGGCCCGACCCCCGGCCCCACTCCTGGCCCCCCGGGAGGGCCTTGGAAGCCGAGCCAGGTCCGTGGGTCAACCCAGCCCGGCTCCGGCCCTCCCGGGCCATCGCCACCTCCAGAGAAGGCAAAGTCGGAAGGCAGGTGTCCGGCCATGGGAAGGAGGGAACCCCCAGCCGGAGGCCTGGAGAAATGAAGATAGGCCCTGGAGGGCGGCACACCTCCCTCCCTCCCTCCCTTCCCAATCCCACCCCCTAGCCTTGACCTCCGGCCCCGCCCCGGCATGGAGGAGGAGTTGGGAGAAACTGAGGCGAGTGTTTGCCTGCTATGGCCTGCGTCTTCGGGCACCCAGCTGGGTGTGCCTCCCAGAGGCACCCAGGGTCTCCCATCTAGACCCCCATTGGCTGAGAGCTGCCTGGGGGATCTTGTCACCTCCATGGCCTTCAGGAGCCGGGTGCCCACCTCCTGTCCACAGAGCCTTGGCACCACCCCTCCCTGGGCCCCCTCCACTGAGTGTGTACCTAGAGCTCCCAGGGCCACCCGTGCTTAACAGGCGCCCTGATCATCGGCTCTTCTCTCTGCCTGCCCAGCTCACCCTGCACCTTGGTGGTCCCAAGCAGATCTCGGCACTGCAGGCAGCTGCCCGCAGCCTCGGCCACTTGGCATGTGGCTGCCTGGCACCCAGCCGCCTGGCCTAAATTCTCCTATCTGCAGGGCAGATGTGCCTGACCGGTCCTGCAGCCGTTCTGCAGAGCTCCCACCTAGACTCAGGGACGGCACCCCCACCCACTGACCCCCCTAGGCTCTGGATGGACTAGGCCTGAGACTTCCAACTGCAGCCCAGACTGGAGGCCCCAAAACCCCTCATGACAAGACCTACAGCTCAGGCCCCACCCAGAGAGCATCTAACACCCAGCAGGCTGGGCCTCCCTCCCCCACCACCCATCCTAGGCCTGCACCTCAGTTCCTGGGGGGAGAAAAACCCAAGAGGTAGGGGGTGTGGGGAGAAAAAATATCTGGCTTCAGGTTCAAAGAGGCCTGGAAGGGTCTGGGGGAGGGGGCCGGACAATGGCCTTGGCTGGGCAATCCGAGTCCCCTGAGGGGGCAGCCTACAACCCTAAACAAGTGCTCAACCCTTCAATGGGCCTGGATGGCTCCCCTGGGGACGGCTTCCTGCCCCCAACCCCCAGTCCCTCACACAAAATCCCCTACCGAGCTCCCATGACACCCCGTCCCCTCAAAGACCTAGCCTCAGACGAGACCGAGGGCCTCCTGCCAGCACCCCTACCCCAAGCCAAGTCCCGGCTGGAGCAGTCAGGGGTGCTGGCGGGAGGTCCTGAGGAGCTGTGGGGGTGCAGGAAGCCTCTCTAAGCTGCCCCTCAAGCTGTTTTCCTGGGCCTGGTGGTATTTTGAGGGCCAGCAGTGCTGGCCGAGAGCGGCTATCTATTTGCAAGAGAACAGCCCGTCAAGTGCCTGCCTGCACCGGAAGGTGTCTGTCTGTCTGCCTGGTCCCCACACTAGCCCTACATAAAGGCCCCAGGGAAATTGGGGAGCCGCTCCTTGTGCTGGGGCGGCAGTCCTGCACCTGGATCTGAGGCTGCTCACCCTGGGCGCAGCTCTGCTGGCTTCCCAAGGGAAGCATCCTTGGGCTTCCAGGAGTGGCCGGCCGAGGCCCTGGGTGGCTGCCTGTTAATGTTTGTCCTGAGAGTCTGAGTCCCACGGCCTTGACCCAGTGCCCATCTCCCACCGCAGGGCCAGGGATATAGCTCAGGGGCACAGCGCCTGTCCGACAGGCAGAAGGTCTCGAGTTCAACTCCCAATACCAAAACAAAAAAACCCACCCAAAGAAACAGAGCAACGAGCCACACCCGCGGGCTCCGACACTTCCCAGGGTAGGCGGGAACATCCACTAACAGCCAGGAGGGCGCCCAGCCACTGATGCCCCAGGCAGCTGGATTAAGGGGCCTCATGGGCTAGCCCGCAGGGCAGAGCCATCAGCACCTTTGTCATGCAGAATCTGCCGTCTGCTTGAGACCCCTCCGGGCGGAGGGAGCGGAGCCTCGGCCAGGCCCCTGGAGACCCTCCCTGCCAGGCCCCCCAGGTAGTGGGGCTCAGGCCTGAGCAAGAGGCTCCTACTGGAAAGAACCCAGAAGACTGGGCACCTGGTCCTGGCTGGACGGGGCGCCATGTCGCCCTGTGGGTGCCCGGAGCGGACCCTGCGAACCTGAATGCCAAGTTAAACTTGTCTGGAGCCTCGCAGGCTGCTCCTGGGGTGCTCAGGGCCACTGAGGTTGAGCTCCCCTCCCCTGCCTCCTGCCGGGTCTGCAGCCCAGAAGCTGCCCTCGTAGGAGATGGAAGCAGGTCTGAGCCCTCCCACTTAGCTCCTAGGTCGCTCGATGCTCACAGACTGCACGAAGAACTCGATCGGAGCTCTGATCGGAGCTCTGTGTGGGGGTGCGGCAGGGGGATGCCTCCCCACACCAAAGCAGCTGCCGAGCAACGGCAGGCCACCTCCCCTGGCCCGGAAGCACTTGCTGGGGCCAGCTCGGTGGAGGCTGAGGCAGGAGGACAGCAAGCTCGAGCCAACCTAGGCAACTTTGTGAAATCCTGACCCAAAATTTTAAAGAGCTGGAAAATGAGTGAAACTGGTCCCAAATAAAAAAAACTTTAAAAGTCTGGGGATGGCAGCGCACAAGCCCTGGGCGGGCCGAGCCACACCCAGGTGAGCCTGGCTCAGCTAGGAAGCCACTTATTTGACTTTGGGCTTCTGTCACTCTGAAGGTGCAGAGGCCCAGGGGAGGAGCAGCGGGGCTGGCCCTTGCCCTGCAGTACCGGCCTAGGCTCTTCCTCCAGGGCTGTGCTGGGGGATGTTGCCAGAAGAGTGAAGGGTGGAGCTGGCAGGGCAGCTGGCAGAGCTGACAGGGCACTTGGCAGAACGCGGTAACCTCTTCTCCGGCTCTGACTCCCCCGCTAACCACGCCCCACACCCTGTGCCTCAGTTTCCTCACCTAACCAGCAAGGCTCGGTGCCCGTTGCTCTCACATTCCTGCCCACAGCTGTGGCCCCGCACTGCCCAGGCCTTCGGATCTGGCTCTGCCTGGAGCAGCGCCTGGTGAGTGCATCCCAGAAACCTTCCAAGAGGTAACACCTCTCCTGGTAGGAGAGAGGAGGGACAGGAAGAGAGAGAGGAGGAGGAGGGAAGGTGGGTGGGGAGGCAGAGGCAGGGCTGCAGGATGAGCCTTGGTCTTTTCCTTTGGCAGTACTGGGGGGCCTGGGCCTTGGGCCTTGGCACTGACTGCTGCGCTGAGAGCTCAAGCTATGGTGAGACCTTGTGTCCAAAAAACAAAACAGACAAGTAAACTGCAGAGTGCTGGGCCCTGGGTGACTCTCAAATTATCTTCCAGCTCAGCCAGGTGTGGTAGCACGCACCTGTTATCCTGGCAGTTAGATGGGCTGGGGAAGTAGCTCAGCGGCGGACGTGCCTGCCTGGCAAGCACAAGGTCCTGAGTTTGATCCTCAGTGCCATCAAAACAAAACAGGGGCCGGGGAGATGGCTCAGTGGAATAAGCGCTTCCCCGGCAAGCGCAGGGGCCTGAGTTCAATCCCCGGTTCCATCAAAAAACAAAACAAAAAAAAACCAAGTTGGCTCAGAGGAATAAGTGTTCCCCTGGCAAGTGCAAGAGCCTGAGTTCAATTCCCTGTTCTGCCACAAAAAAAAAAAAAAAAAAAAAAAAAAAAAAAACCACAAACAAACAACAACCCTAGCACTCAGAAGGCTGAGGCAGGAGGATTGCCATGAGCTTGAGGCTGACTAGCCTGAGTGACACAGTGAGACGCTGTTATAAACAAATGGATGTCTTCTTGCTCTGATGTGCAGAGTGTTCTGCTGACCTGCCCTTCTTCCAGCACCCACAGTGACCACTGCAAAAGCCAGGAGCCCAAGAAGAGCCGGGCTGGGTTGTTTTGCTTGGGTCTCTGTGAGGACAGAACATGCGCCACCTTCTGCCCCCAGCGGAGCTCCTCAGGTCCTGGGCCTGGGGTCTGGGGTGGGCTGGGGTAGAGCAGACCTAGCAAGGAGGGTGCCCTGGGTTCCTCCCCAAGTGCCACAAAGGAAGGAAGCCTGATCTCGCTGGATAGCTGGCTCCATTCCCCTGGACCTGGTGCCCTGGGCGCCAGGGACTCTGGGGTCAGGGATGCCCTTCCCTCAGCTTGCTCCTCTGGGCTGCTGGAGGCTGGGAGCCAGGCCTGTAGCATGGGAGAGTCACATGCAATGAGGCGCCTGGTGGGATGGGGAGGGGTGCCAGCAAAGGTGACCTCGAGCCCTCCTAGACCAGAGAAGGTGCTGGGGTCTGGCACTGTGCACCACTCTGTGGGCACGTGCTGCTGCCTACTCTAAGTGCCCTGGGTCAGACCTGGTCCGTGTGTGACAGGACAGGCCGGCTGTCAGCCCTGGACCCGCATCCTTGCAGTGGTTTGGGCTCTCTGCTCCCCGCTGCCTCTTGCCAGTCCCCATGGTCATCTACAGCCTTTCTGTGGCCCCAGCCCAGCATCAGGCATTCCCTGGGCAGCCGATGCCATGCTGGACCAGGACTGCTTGTCCTCTCAGTGGAATAAGCGCTTCCCTGGCCAGCGCAAGGGTCTGAGTTTAATCCCTCATTCTGCCCAAAAAAAAAGAAAAAAAAAGGTGGGGAGGCGGGGAGATGGCTCAGTGGAATAAGGGCTTCCCTGGCCAGCGCGAGGGCCTGAGTTCAATCCCCGGTTCTGCCAAAAAAAAGTAAAAAGAAAAGAGGATTGCTTGTCCTTCCTGCCCTGCCTCGCAGCCCCAGGCTTCTGATTTGCTTTTCCTGGGGTTGAAAGACTCAGTGCACCAAGGAGGGCATCCTGGGGATCACACTCCCACTACTGGGGACTCCAGTGTTCTGGTTTCCAGCAACTCCCAGCCCCTGTGGTCATGGGAGGAGATGACTGAAAGTTTTCAAAGCCCCAGAACTCCCAAGGGCCAAAGACCAAGACAAGGGCTCTGTCTGTCTGTCTGTCTGTCTGTCTGTCTGTCTGTCTGTCTTTTTCAGCAGAACCAGGGATTGAACTCAGGACCTTGCACTTGCCAGGCAAGCACTTATTCTACTGAGCTATCTCCCCGGCCCGACAAGGGCCCT